TCTAAAGCGGTTACTTTATTTCTTTCTTTTTTTTTTTTTTTTCATTTTTCTTTTATTATTCATATGTGCATACAAGGCTTGGTTTATTTCTCCCCCCTGCCCCCACCCCCTCCCTTACCACCCACTCCACCCCCTCCTGCTCCCCCCCTCAATACCCAGCAGAAACTATTTTGCCCTTATCTCTAATTTTGTTGTAGAGAGAGTATAGGCAATAATAGGAAGGAACAAGGGGTTTTGCTGGTTGAGATAAGGATAGCTATACAGGGCATTGACTCACATTGATTTCCTGTGCATGGGTGTTACCTTCTAGGTTAATTCTTTTTAATCTAACCTTTTCTCTAGTTCCTGGTCCCCTTTTCCTATTGGCCTCAGTTGCTTTAAGGTATCTGCTTTAGTTTCTCTGCATTAAGGGCAACAAATGCTAGCTAGTTTTTTAGGTGTCTTACCTATCCTCACCCCTCCCTTGTGTGCTCTCGCTTTTATCATGTGCTCATAGTCCAATCCCCTTGTTGTGTTTGCCCTTGATCTAATGTCCACATATGAGGGAGAACATACGATTTTTGGTCTTTTGAGCCAGGCTAACCTCACTCAGAATGATGTTCTCCAATTCCATCCATTTACCAGCGAATGATAACATTTCGTTCTTCTTCATGGCTGCATAAAATTCCATTGTGTATAGATACCACATTTTCTTAATCCATTCGTCAGTGCTGGGGCATCTTGGCTGTTTCCATAACTTGGCTATTGTGAATAGCGCTGCAATCAACATGGGTGTGCAGGTGTATCCGGAGTAACCTGTGTCACATTCTTTTGGGTATATCCCCAAGACTGGTATTGCTGGATCATATGGTAGATCTATGTTTAGATTTTTAAGATGCCTCCAAATTTTTTTCCAGAGTGGTTGTACTAGTTTGCATTCCCACCAGCAGTGTAAAAGGGTTCCTTTTTCTAAGGGATACTTTTTAAATGATAGTCAACATTTTAGGATTAAAATTTTGCAGTCTTGTTTATTATCATATTGTTATAATTTTTTATATGTACTAAATAATTTCTGAATATTTATTGTTTGCAGAATATCCTGTCAATAGTTCTGTCAGTTTCTTTTTCTTGGAACTTTGTAAATGAGCTCACATACCAAAAGATTTGTAGTGATTGCTGTTCTTGTTATGTTAATTGGATCCTTTAGGTACTTGATAATTGATCTCATCCCACCTCATTCTGGAAAGACAACTGAGCATTATAACTGGTCACTTGGCACCAGAATAGCATATGAAGATCATCTTCTCTTTCAGTAGCAAATCCCAAAGGGATGTGCAGGCTTATATGGTCTCCTAGTATTGCTGTCACTGGAAAGCATTCTGAGAATAGGAGGCACCCTTTATTCTAAGGTAATGTGGGAAATTCTGGGCTTTGCTGGTATTCAGATTAACTGTTTGTGTTCATGAAAGTATGTATTATACTAAACTTATCAATGAAGATGGTCACCAAATCACATTATGGACAAAAGACAATGTGATTGTTAATGTAAGAAAGCCATAACATAATTCTGTTTTGTGAAATAGTGTAAGGTTTTCTTTTTAATGATTGTGTTGAATGAAGAAAGCTAAAGTATCCCCCAGTATCTTCTATCCAGGGTTTATTTTATCTTTCAGTGAAAAAGGTAGTTAGATTTGTGGTTGATGAATGCTTTCATTCTCATCGAATCTCTGTAACTATGGTCTACTGTTTTCTATGACAGAAATTATATTAATACTTATGGCAAGTCAACACAAGAAAAATTTCATGTGTCAATGTGTAATGAATTCACAGTGTTTTCTTTTTCTATATTAGGTAGTAAATGGATAAACTTCTTAAAATGAGTGAAATTATTTATACATATCACATATATATGCCATGTTGTACAATTAAATTAATATACACCTGAAGAATTTTATAATAAAGTGACAAAGTAAATGGTAGAGATAGAAGGAGCATCAAGCCTGGAGAGGAATGAGAAATTGGTAAGAGGACAGTTTGCAAATTGTAACCATTCCCAGAGACATCTACCTGTTAAATAATTCTGGTAAAGCAAGCTATTTGACAGAGGGCAAAGAGATATGATTTGTGGGGAGAAGTTATTTGAGAACACCTTGAATTTAACATGTATGCAGCCAGCTTTATGTCTATGAATGAATTACAAGTGAATATAGCTTAATAAAACTATCTATCTATCTGACCATCTACCTATCATCTATGTATACACTCATTGTTATGTATATGTACATATATACACACACTACAGTATTGAACATATTATGCATGATGTTTTACTTATGCTCTTTATAAGGAACTTTGGGAGAACTTGGGAGAAATGGTTTTAAAGTTAGTATCAGGAATGATACTGCATTGCCTGAAAATTATGCTTCATTCATTTGTTTTGTGCACTACTAATTATATATGTGGTATGCTAGAAAATTTCTAGTCAAATATGTGATCCATCCACACAGAGCAGTGCATAGGACTCATGGGTGTGCAATAGATTTTATTGCTGTTTTTACTTTTGGTTCAGTTTTTTCCTTTTAACTTTATTAATTTATGCAATTTTATAAATACAAAAGATGGTTTTCTTTTGTCTTATACTAAGCCACTTTCAATCCAGTTTATTTGAAAAAACACTGATGTATATTATTCATATATATATATATATATACATATATATAAACATTCACACATATTTACTTTATACTTTACTAACCATAGATGAAAACAAGAGGGGTTAGGAAGCAAATGTTTCCTGTCATTTTCATTCTTAAAAATAAGCTCAGAAACTACCCAGTTGATATAAATCTACCTATTATAGAGGGTGGTTTGTGTTAGTGAACTCACAGAAAACTTGGCAGTCATGGCATATATACAATGGGAAATTCTTGGTAGGTGAAGAAAATGTATATGAGAAGTGGATTACTGAGATGAGCAAACCATGAAATTTAGAGAACGTGGCACATAGTTTTAACCCCAACTTTTCAAACTTCTTTCTCCTATTTGTAATGTAATGAGGTCCCACTGGATAAAGATAGATGAGAAAGCAGAATTCTGTAAGTGATTTTGTTATTTAGTATCGGTAGTGGCCAACTAAGTTCAGAACCCAGGTCTTCTGACTCTTGACCCTATTCTGCCTCCTGGATGAACCCCTGTTAGTAATTTCCGTAGCACCTGAAAGACTTGATATGTGAAGACAACCACAATCCAGTCCTCTCATTATGAAAAACATTTACTTTAACAATAGCCCTAGAATTAATATTTTAATTTAAAATAAATATATTTTAAATTAATATATATATAGCCCCCCCATGTGACACTATCTCTACAATAAGAGAGAGAGAGAGAGAGAGAGAGAGAGAGAGAGATTCTGATGCTCAAAGTCTAGTGGAAAGAAACTGTCTCATTATATAGAAGTAGTTCCAAGAGAGCAATTTTTTATTTTTGTATAACAATCTTAAGGTTATGTTCTAGCAAAATTGCCGCAATTTAGATGCCTTGGTACTTTTCTAAGCAAAAGATATTTTTAAAGTATTGGGTCTACTCGCAGAAATTTAACACCCCACCAATCCAGAATCAAGGTGGCTGTGGAGTCACATCCCATCCCAGACCTTTTCCCTGCCTCTTGCACTTTCTTGTGGCTACTGGGATTCCTTGGCTTTGGTTGGACTCTAGTCTCTGCATCAATGGTCACATTGCCTCTCTCTCTCTCTCTCACTTTCCCTAGTAAGGATACATATGATTATATGTATGACTAACCATGAAAATATCCATATCTCAAAATTGTTTTAATTTTTTTTGGTGATTGAACTCAGGGCCTCACTCTTGATAGGCAACTGCTCTACCACTTACTTACATCCTCAGCCAACTCAAGATTCTCAATATATGCAAAGATCCGTTTTCCATACAAAGCAACATTTATAGTTTCCTGGGGTTAGCACTTGAATATCTTTGGGGAACTGAGTAAGAATTTTATTTTAATTAGTCTCCAAATTGTCCTCAAACCATTCAGTTTAAAGTTTAGTTCTTAATTAGTTAAATTCAGAATTTAATTCTGAAGTAAATTAAACCCACATCATAAACACATTTATCCAATAAGAAATATTTTCACTTAACTTCAGGGAACATTTGAGAGTCATGTAGGAAGTTATGGACTCAAATTTCTATTACTGAAGTAAATTTGCTCTTTTATTTTCTACCTTATTCAAACTTGTGTTCATTGTTTTGTGGTTGAGTTATTGAATAAAGTATAATTGCTTCTTTTAAGGACATCATAATATAATGTACTTTTAATTGTATTCCAAAATTAAGTTAGGCTGATTCCTGTAATCTTAGCCACTCAGGAGACAGGGAGGAAGAGGATCGCATTTTGAAGCCATCCCTGGCAAACAGTTCATGAAAGCCCATCTTGAAAAAACCCATCATAAAAAGGGGCTGGTGGAGTTGCTCAAGGTGTAGGCTCTGAGTTTAAATCCCAGTGCTGCAAAAAATAAGAAAGAAATGGTTTCTGAATTCTAAGTACAAATCTACTCTGATATTAAAAATGAAGAATAAAAAACTTTCATTGAAATAAAATACACAAATTACCCACTCCAGAAAGGAGAAAAAATTGGAATGAAAATATAAAAAATTGGAGGGGGTGAATTCAAGTATTATTTATTCAATACATTGTAAAAACATTTGTAAATGCCACAAATAACCAAAAACCAAAAATTAGAATGAAAATGTAAGGCAACACTTGATATGTCACATGCATAATAACTGATCTCTGATAGGTCTGATTTCCCATCTTCCTTTTTGATTTCCCAAAAGGATTGATGCCCAGTTCATCATAAATACATTTCAGAATAAACAATGTATATGGATCAGTTGGGTTTTCAATTATCTAGAATGAAAGTAGTAGAAAAACACATACAGTGCTGTCTTAAGTCCTTACGTACATACTATTTTTTTTACAGAAAACACCATAGAAAGCCAAAATCATGGATAAGAAAAATTTCACCCAAGTGAAGGAGTTCATCCTTTTGGGATTCACAGCAGATGTGGGGTTACAGAGGGTGCTGTTTTGCATCTTTCTCATCATTTATGTCACCAGTCTTTTAGGAAATATCACCCTGATTTCTCTGATCTGTTCTGATTCTTGTCTCCACACACCCATGTATTTCTTCATTGGAAACCTGTCCTTCCTAGATCTCTGGTATTCTTCTGTGTATGCTCCCAAAATATTGATGACTTGCCTCTCTGAAGACAAGAGCATCTCCTTTGCTGGCTGCCTGGCTCAGTTCTTTTTCTCCGCTGGTCTAGCATACAGTGAGTGTTACCTGTTGGCTGCCATGGCTTATGACCGTTATGAGGCCATTTCCAACCCCTTACTTTATTCCCAGGCTATGTCTTCAAGGTTATGTGTGAGTCTTGTTGCAGCTTCATACCTTGGCGGTTTTGCAAACTCAACTATCATCACCAGTGAGACATTTACTCTGAGCTTCTGTGATAACAATGTCATTGATGATTTTTTCTGTGATCTGCCCCCACTGGTGAAGCTGGCATGTGATGTGAAGGACAGCTATCAGGCTGTGCTATATTTTATACTTGCCTCCAATGTCATCACTCCCGCAGTACTTATTCTTGCTTCTTACCTCTTCATCATTGCAGCCATCCTCAAAATCCGTTCCATCCAGGGCCGCCTCAAGGCCTTCTCCACCTGTGGATCTCACCTGACAGCAGTCACTTTGTACTATGGTTCAATTCTCTTCATTTACTCCCGACCAAGCACCAGTTATGCTCTGGAACGGGACAAAGTGGTGTCAGTGTTCTATACTGTGGTGATTCCAATGTTGAACCCCTTGATCTATAGCTTAAGAAATAAAGATGTCAAGGATGCCTTGAGGAAAATGTTAGACAGAGCAAAACTATCTTAAATGAAAATATTTGGTAAGCCAGTTTTAAAAACACATTTCCATGTCATTGATGTTATTCATACAGTACTCTCAGAAATAAGTAAAACAAAGAACAAATCATTTCATAATATGGAAGCAGTAGTCTGCATTTTATAAGCTGGTACTAATGTAATTGAGTATGTTCTTAAAAATAAATGAAGTTGGTGAATTGGAAAATTTGCTATTCATTCTAGCTTAGAACAGAGTCTATAAAATAGTGCGAAATCTGAGAAATTTGAAATAAAGCAGACTAGCTAAAAATTCATTCAACATTTCACAAGTTGCCTTTATCTATAATATTTTAAATTATAAATGGGAATAATATACTTTGTTATGGAATCATAAGGATTCGATGGATTTATGGGTTATTTCAAATCATGTAGCTCATAGGCAAATATACAGGAAAATAAAACCAGAATTTACAACGCCAAAGGTTTTCACCTCATATATTAAGAGAGAAAGTGAGTTAGGAAGTTGTATTTAAAAAAATCTGTAACATGCACCTAAAAGAAGTTCATTTATGTATTTCCTTTTCTGGTTCTCACTTCTTGGCTTGCCATTAACTCAAGATGATCTATTTCCTTACCAATAGGAGAAGCAGTGAACAACTGTTACCCATAGGCACTGTGTACACACTTTCCTCAAGGGCAATGGTACAGCAGTTATATGAGAGAGAAAGGAGAAGCAGTAGCCAGGAATGTAGAAACAGAGAGTGATGAGGAGGAAGTTTTTAAAGGTTTGCATCCGTAAAGAAGATGCAGAGTGGAAATCTGTACTGGGTAAAATGGTGATTGACTACAAATAAGGATCCATGTATGCTTCCATTTCTTTTATTTAGTTTTGTGCATTAATCAAAATCAGAGAATACTTTATTATGCTGTATCATGTTTCTTAATTTTATTAGTTTTTTTACATATAATACATGAGGTTGCTCCAAAATCAAAACATCCTAGCATTGATAATCAAGAGTACTTGCTTGATAGGACTTCTGGATCAGAACATCACATGGAGTATAGCTTAAACAATAGACGTTAATTTTTTCACAGTGATGGAGGCTAGAAGTCCAACTAAAAGATTTAGTTTTGTTTTTTTTTTTTTGAGGTTTCTTTCCCTGTCTTGCAGATAACTGCCCTACTATTGTGTTTTCAAATAATCTGTTCTCTTTGTAGTCATACCCTGGCCTGGTATGTCTTTTTTATGCCCAGATTTCCTCTTCATAAAAATATCAACCATACTGAGTGCTTGGAATGGTGATTCATACTTATAATCTTATCCACTTGAGAAGCAGAGACAGAGGATCATGGCTCAAGGTTAGTGAGACCTTATCTCAATAAACATGTTGGGTAGAGAGGTACATGCCGGTAATCTCAGCCACACAAGAGCACATAAGTGGGAGGATTGTAGTCTGAGGCTGCCCTGTGGGACAAAACATGGAACCTAATCACAAAAATAATCATAGCACAGAGGGCTGGAGGTATGGCTTAAGTAGTAGAGCACTTGCCTAGCAAGCACAAGGCCCCTGAGCTCCAGAACCACAAAAACAACAACAAAAACCCCCCTAACACAAACAAGCACAAAACCCATTATCATTCGTATTGAATTAGGACCAACTCTAACTGCCTCCTTTTACCTTAATTACTACTTGAAAGGCCCTATCTTCATCACATGCTGAGGAACTGGAAGTCAAAAGCTTCAAGTATATTGTGGGAAGACATGATTCAACCTGCAACACCAGAGAAGGGTAGTAGTTTCTCAGTAGAGGAGACAAGGACAGAGTATAGAGCATATGACAAGGAAAAATGTATAGAAGACATGATATATTCTGCAAAATCTAAGTAACAAAATTTATAAAAATTCTGCAGACACATTTTTATTTTGTGCCTTAGAGCCAATAACACAGTCAACTTTTCATAAAATATGTTCTTTTGATCATGTCCTAATTAATATACTATTGCCAAATTCTATGTGAACTCTAATTATGTCTTTGGAGACTGAATTACATATTTCTGACTGCTGTGCTGGAAGTCTCAAAGGAGTATTGAACAAGTACATATGTTGAGTACAGCAAAGGCACATGAGAGCATCACAGAGAGGAAAGCGTGTCACCTGGCCTTCCTGACTGTGGGTAAGTACTAAGAACATTCTTATTAGCAATTTGGCCATCCTGTGACCTCAACTGAAATTAGAAAGGAGATAGAGAGTCTGGCTTGGATGTCAAAGGATCATTGCTATGCCAACATGCTAACAGATGTGTGTGTTACACACATACACACACATACATAGATACACAGATAAACACACAGGTACACACACACACACACACACACACACACACACACACACACACAGATACACAAACACCTTGCAAGTCAGACTTACCCAAGGGCATAGATGGTCCTAATATACAATCTGAAATTCAGTCTGATATTTATGTTGTGAATATCAGATATTCAATTACATAATGAAACATCAAAAGGACAAAAATGTTTCCTTTTTACTCCATTGATTGTGCTGTTCTGTGCTGTTCAGACTAGTGGCATATGCTATTTTCACTTCTTGGAACTCATTTTGAAGTGCTAGAGAGACATTCCCTTCTACAGAGTTTTTATTGCAGTAAAGGCAGCAGGTAATAGGGTTGCTAAAGCAGAAAATGCATCATGATAATCCATTCTGTGTGGATGCCTTAGCATGACAGGTTCTGACATCTTCAAGTTCATATACAGTCAGCAAATTATTTCAAATTCAAGATGAATTTGAGGTCTTGAAAATGAGTCCTCTTTTTATTTATTCTTCCTTCTTATTATGACAGTACTCTGTGCTGTGATAGTCCAGTTGAGGATAGATTGTCTTCAGAGAATTTTAAGCTAAGTTAGAAGTATTTGAGGAAAAGTAGGCTTAAGATAAAAAAAATTCAGTAAATTATTGACTCAATAAATATTTGAGTGCCACCATGCTGTCAGAAACTGTTCTTGATGATGTTAGAATATAGCAGTAAATAAGCAGAGACTTTTTCCCCTTGTGAATGTTGCATTCTGGTGAGGAGGAGGAGGCAATAATTTTAATAGACAAGATTAGGACATGATAAGATTTAGAATATAAGTGTTAGAGAAAGAGAGCAACATATCAGAATCAGAGTAGAATATTTAAGGATGAAGATTATTGTTGGGAGTGGGTATGGAATTTTTTTTAAAAAGGAGTTAGTATGGGTCATAGTCAGAAAATTACATATGAAAGGGTCTTCACAGAAATAAATAGATGAGCCATGCAAATATGAGAAGAAATAGTGTTTCAGAGAAAAGAAATCCACTATTAATTTTTTTTTTTTGGTGGAACTGGATTTTGAACTCAGTGTCTTGAAAGCAGACACTCTGCTGCTCGAGTCACACTTCCAATCCATTTTGCTCTAGCTATTTTTGGAGATGGGGTCTCATAAACTATTTACCCAGAATGGTTTTGAACCACGACCCTCCCAATCTCAGATGCGTAAGTAGCTAAGATCACAGGCAAGAGCCACTGGTGCCTGGCACAAGGAGACATATTTGAGGCAGTCATAAATCAGCAAGGCTTGAGTAGAATGAAGGCGGGGCAAGGATGGTGACTGTTAGGAGACAAAGCTCTGGATGTAAATGAGGGTCAGACTATGGATGACTTTCAGCCAGTGTGTTTTTAGCTTCAGATAAAGTGGACATCTTTATAAGATTTTAAATTCAGGAGTTATATTGCCTTTTAAACTTATTTGTTGGACTATAGTGACTGCTATATTAAGACTCTACTGTTGGGGACAAGGGGGTTGACCAGTTAGAAAGCTCTTGAAATACTCTTGGTAAAAGATGAGAGTGTTTTCACCAAAGTGGTAATATTTATTACACGGGAGGCGGGAAGTGGGTAGATTCAGGGTAACTTTGAAGGAGGTGAAATCAGGATTTACTGAAAGATTGAATAATAGATAGGACAGAAAACATGTAGGTTGATTGCAAGTTCTTTGCTTCAGAAACCAAAAGGGTCAACTTTTATGAACAATAATGGAGAAGAAACAGATAGATCAATGTTTGGAAGTGAGGATTAAGAATTACATTTTGACCACATTAAGTTCTAATGCATAAATATACTACTCATCTTTTATTAGAGAATATTAGCAGAGTGTTTATTTACAGTGTAGTGGCAGGATTCAAAAGTGAGGACAGAGGCAAGAAGAAAGTTTAAGACCCAGGCCTAGACTCCATGTGGGGCTGCTTATGCTACAGCACATTGGCCAAAGCAAACCACCAGGCAATCTGAGTGTGAAGAGGTAGAAAAAGACAGAATCAACTCATAAAATCAGTAAGAATTGTGGACACTTTTTGGATCTACAACACATAATATGTTGGTCTATGTTTTCATTTCCTTTACAATTTTTGTATTCCAATCTTAAGAGCTCTGGCACAAAAATAAGTGATGAATCTATGATAAAATATTACACACAGAAGTCAGAATAATGAATGTGGTATTGAGTCTTTTACTGGGGTTTTCTCAGTCCTTCATCAAATTTATTTATCCATTCTTTCCAAGATTTCACTGTTTTTACATTAAAAATAGAGACAGGAAATGTTATTAGCAATCTTTATTTTGAAAGGATTTTTCCCCTAGACTTCAACATGCATTTTGAGGAGAAATTATTATGTAAATAGAAATTTCTATTTACAGTAAGTTTGAGCTGATGATATTTGAATCCCTTCTGCCATGATATGATCCTAGTTTATACAATGGTTATGAATTCATCCAGAACCTTTAGTGCCTCCTTTTCCTGTCTACAGAGATCAGGAGAGTGGTACCAACAGGTGAGAAAGGAGGGAGAATTTCAGTTTCTACTTAAAAGTGAGCAATGGCTTCCTTCAGTTCACATTCAGATCTGCAGTTAGAGTGAACTTTACGTGAGCCTAACTGTTCATGCTAACTCGACACAATGGCTAGGGCTTTGATTTGTACTGATATAAAGGATAAAAATGTTTTATATGTCTTCAAAAAGCTTTTGTAATCTGGTAAATGTTTTGTTTCATCCAAAGCACCTATAACCAGCCATCTTCATTTAACTTTTCTCAGCTTGTTTACTCTTTTCCAGGTAAAGATGCTGATAACTTACTTTTGTTATGGTGAAATTTCTCTCCTGCTTTTCTTTACTCATAGTGAGAGGTTTTCTGGCTCAGTTCTTACTTTTTTTTTCTTTTTTGTTTTTTTGTGGCCCTGGAGTTTGAACTCAGGGTCTCATACTTGTTAGGCAGGTGCTCTATGGCTTGAGCCACTCCACCAGTTTTCACTTTTCAACTCTCCTTTATGTGACTCACTTTCTGGGAAAATATTGTCAGTAGACTAGATAACTTATTCTATTAGTTATTTGCCTTTTTAAAAGTTTGAATAAGAAATTTAGTAAGTGGCCTAGTTCAGACAATGTCATTTTCCCCTCAGGTTATAGTCCTAATTGAAAATGAGCCTTTCCAGAAATGTTTCCTTTTATAGAAAAGTGATGAAGTAGCAAAGTTCATAGTAACCATTGGTATTGTGGCTATAATTCAACATTTTATACTTTAAAATAGCAATGTGTATATTTTTTACATTTGTACTAATAGCAAGAGGAATAGTACAGTGTATTGGTGTGCAATGGTTGACACACAAGAAATTCTCAATAACTTTTAGAAGGATGCTACTGATATTTTTTGAGTGTCTACTATTGGACTGAGTATTTTCACGCGAAAAGTATTCCTTCCTCAAACATACAATCTGCTAGTAAATTTAGTCATATTTCTGAGATTTGTTTTTCTGCTTTATGAGAATAATGTACTGGCCCTATGTGAAAGATACTAAGTGAATTCCCTAATTTTAAGGTTATTTTTACTTTGACTTTTTGTCAAAGTTTCAGGCTCAAGTGCTATAATTCTACATAGTAAGAAGTATAGCAAAAAGTAAAATTCCACAGAATTGTTAGTAATTGTTAATTTAATTGATATACTCAATATCTTGTTTCAATAGAAAAATCAGTATGTAATTTTTATTCCCTGATAATGATAACTAGGCTTTTCTTTGTGGACATGAAAGTGGGAAATCGCACCATCCTTACTGAATTCATCCTGGTGGGCTTTTCAGCAGACCCCCGGTGGCAGCTGATTCTATTTGGAATATTTCTAATTCTCTACTTGGTAGCATTATCAGGGAATATGACCCTGGTTATCTTAATCAGGATTGATTCCCGGCTGCATATACCTATGTACTTTTTCATTGGCAATCTGTTTTTTTTGAATTTCTGGTATACCTCTGTGTATACCCCTAAAATCCTGGCCAATTGTGTCTCAGAAGATAAGCGCATTTCCTTGGCTGGATGTGGGGCTCAGTTGTTCTCCTGTGTTGTAGCTTACACTGAGTGCTATCTGCTGGCAGCCATGTCATATGAGCGCTATGTGGCCATTTGTAACTCATTGCTTTACTCAGCTGTTATGCCCACCTCTCTCTGTGCTGGGCTTGTTGGTGGATGTTACATTGGTGGATATTACATAGGTGGATTTTTGAATGCCATAGCCCATACTGCTAATACTTTCCAGCTGAGTTTTTGTGGTAAAAATATCATTGACCACTTTTTCTGTGATGCACCACCATTGGTAAAAATGTCCTGCACAGATACTCGAATCTACGAAAAAGTCCTCCTTGGTGTGGTGGGCTTCACAGTCCTCTCCAGCATTCTTGCCATCCTCATTTCCTACTTGAACATCCTCCTAGCTATCCTGAGGATCCGCTCAGCTTCAGGAAGGTGCAAGGCTTTCTCCACCTGTGCTTCTCACATAATCTCAGTCATGCTCTTCTATGGATCCTTGCTCTTCATGTATTCAAGGCCTAGTTCTACCTACTCCCTGGAGAAAGACAAAGTGGCCGTCCTGTTCTACACTGTGGTCAACCCATTGCTGAATCCCCTCATCTATAGCTTGAGAAACAAAGATGTCAAAGAGGCCTTCAGGAAAGCAACACAGACCATACGACCCCAAGCATGAACACATTTGCTGAATGTTGTTATTTTGTTTTCCAAATAACAAGAGCTATAAACATGCTTATACACATTTATGTATTTCAGTTAAATTCAACCAGTGATCTCATAAGTAATAAAATATTGAGAACATGAGTTAATTATGTTATCACTCTGTGGTGGTATAAACTATTTTAAACATATAACATTAGGTTTCAATATGTTATTTTGATTCTTTAAATTATATTTTTCATATAATTCATTTTGTTGTTACTGGGAAGTCTTTAGGAAAAAAGTAAATTACACAGTTCCAGGGACGTAGTTTTATTTGACATTCAATGAACAATTGTTACTGGCTAACAGCAGTTTTGGAATGGTGATACTGCTGGAAGTTTGCTCAACATTTTTATTTTTAGTAAGGTGTCTCTTGTAATAAATTTATTCTAAATACCTAATTGAGTGTGCAGAAACTGTCTTTGCAAACTATATGTCTTCCACATTATAAAACCACAAGGGTTAATGATAACAAACCTTTTCCAAATCCATGGAGAAATACGTGTCCATAGAATTTGTCTCTCCTTGGGAGAGTGGGTACTCCACAGAAATTTCCTTTGGATCACACAGCAATGTAGCCCCCTCTTGCAACCTGTGTGAGCATGTCCTAGAAACCTAATGGGGGGCAACAAGAGATTAAGAAAGGACAAAAGACAGAAGACAAACATGTAAAAAGCTGGGGCCAGGTGGGATGGGTGCTCAGATGGAGACACACAACAGCTTCATCCACCTCCAATGAGTTTATTATGTACAGTGGCAAAACAAGGAGGTGGAGCAGCAGTTCTTGGGGGATGGGGCACAATGCTGTAGTTCTCGGGAACAGGAGGAACCTGCGACCACTTCTCTCTGAAGGTAAACATCTTAGGAAAATCAGCTGTGCTGCATTTTGCCCTTGCTTTCTTCTGTGGATGGGGCCATGCCAAACTTGGTCTGCAGATTACTGGGTATAACTGTGCTTACTGCTTTTGTGACTGGGGCTGTACCAAACTCAGCTTGCATATTATTTGACCCAGCTTTGCCTATGTCAATTTCTCAAAGGCTTCTCATACTCCACTCCCCACATCTCCCCCTTTTTCATTCCTTAAATGCTCTCAATAAAGCATTTAAGTGCAAGGAGTTGTCTTTGCACTGTGCAGCATCTGAATGAAAGAACAAGAAAAACAGGTGAACGATAACACACTTATTCCTGTCAAATACCAGAAGGAGTGCTTATTGAAACCCTTGAATTCATCCAGGATAGTTTTGCAATTGTAGCTGGAGAAACAGCATTATCATAAATGTTTTGCATGGCCAATATTTGTTGCCTTAATAGCCATAAGTCCACAGCATTGTTTGCTTCATTCTCATGTGCCCATGAGATGAGCTTAACCTGTAAAGTTATAGTCACTATATTGAAGCACTAAATGTCCTGAGGAATGACCTCCCATGTACTCTGTATCATTAGCAAAGATAGGTACAGGGTGGCTCTACCAAGTGGTAGGATGCACTATTGGGAGGTTAGGCATGAAAGTCCAGTGTGCATCACCCTGGACAACACCCACCTGTATTGTGATTATGACCAATGTTGCCAGCAATGTGGTTGTGGGATTCCCAGTCATCCCCAGGTTACTGGTTACCATTGTCATCATGTCCATTAGTTTCTTCATTTGACCCCAGGTGGGTGGCCCACTGTTCTGTGTCTATCTTGCAGGTAGCTGTTTTCTTGGCCACCCTCTGGTCGGTAGAGGAGTCAGCCTCAGTGTTTCCCTGTCATGGGGTGAATCTTCCAGTCTCAGCCTCCTCATTTTTGGGACTGGGGGTCCATGAGGCTTGACAAACCATGATGGTACCCACACTGGGTGTTCTGCATCTTCAGGAAAAACAAAAGCATGCCCTTGATCCCACATCAGGGCAGGACTAGGACTGTGCCACTTACCAGTCAATACATTTTTTCCAAAGAACCTGAGGCCTGACAGTCAGCTCCTACAGTTGCCAATGCTTTCAGCAGGTGTTAAGCCCTGTTCTGAGCAGTTAAAAAAATTAGGTGCATGTAAAACTTTATGCAATTGATAAGCAGGGGGGGAAGTACCTTATCTTCCCCTTTTAATTTTTTTAATTGCATTTTGAGAATAGCATGTGTGTGTGTTCCACTATGGCCTGCCCTTGAGGATTATAAGGAATACTGGTGGTGTGGTGTATCTGATTGGCCTCACAGAACTTCTGAAAAGCAATTGAAGTGTATTCAGGCTCATTGTCAGTCTTGAGCTTTTGGGTTTTACCAAAAGCTATCAGGGACTAGGCACGGACCCTGGACTGGGAAGTACTGGAGATTGCAAAGCCTCTCCAAGTAGGAGGTTGCAAAGTTCTCCTACTCACATTCTTCCTGGCACCTGGTGTTGTGACCTGCATTCCCACATCTCCTTTGAAGAAAATAACTTGCCGTGTTCACATTCCAGTTCTCTGATGCAGAACTATATAAATTACCAGAACTGTTTGGAACTCTTTGACATTGGATTAATCAATAGCTATAGATAAGACGTCCTGTGAGCTCTGATGATTTCCAGACCAGATGTTTTGTAGTTAAGTTTCAATAAGTCTGAGGAAAATTAGCCCATCAGACTCCATTCCTTTTACCTTAGATCAAATGGACTTCTGATGTATTAAGCTTGATATTTACTTGTTCATTTCCTTGTACTGCCCCATAAAACAAACACTCTGGCTTAGGTAGGCAGTCACATATACTACTGGGAATATGCCATCCTCCAGATCCCAGCTTCATGTTTTTATGTCTCTGTGTCTTTGTTTCTCATTCCCCATCACTCCCAGTCAGGTTCAGCAGCTTAGCCACACAGGCCATGGCATGGGCAAAAGCATCCAAACAATGAGTGATGACAAACTTAGTAGCTTCACCAATTTGCACAGTGGCATAGATATAATCTGAATAAGTGTCCACTGACACATGAGCATAGCACTGCCAGCCAAAAGAGGAAATATGAGTGACATCCATCTGCCACAAGATTCTAAGTTGAAGGCCCCAGTGGTTAACCCCCTCAGGCACTTGTGGCGAATGTGAATCACTGCTGACATGGTTTAATGTTTTGTCAAACCTGCTTCCTGGTAAGGTAAAATTGCCTATGCAAGACTGAAGCATTTTGAGCATACAAAGCATGACTTATCTGGGCAGTTTCTATGGGTGTGGCTGTTTGGGTGGGTAAGCCCAGAGACTAGGTTATCTTCCCAGTCATTACTGTCAGCGAGTGGGCCAGGGAGATTAGAATGGGAGTGCAAATGGCTCACAAATTAAGGATAGAAGTGAGTTTGCAAAAGACTATATAATTGAAAGAAAAGATTAAATAACTCCTCACTACTAGTATGGCCAATATAAGCAGTTTTAATGCAGCATAAAACACCTACCACATAGTGACTATCACTGTATAGATTGATAGGTTCTTGTGGAAAGTCCCTGAGGACCATGACAACAGCAAACAGCTCCACCCTTTGAGAGGAGGCAAAAACAGCATGTTCAGCCTGATAGGCACTCTTTGGTGTAATAAGCAGCAGTACCACACCCAGAAGCATCAGTGAAAATTGTGACAGTCTGTGACAGAGGGGAAGATAGAATAATTTTTGGAAAGATAAACACATGAAGGGAGGCAAACTGTAAAAGTTTTGAATGCGAAGATGTTCCCCGACCTGTCCTGAGAAATTAACCAGTGCAGAATGCCATAAATTTGAAAACTGTCATAACCAATGCTGTTGATCTTTTCAAAATGGGACAACAATATCACTGGGCTCATGCCTCAGCAATTCACAACAATGAGTGCATCCCTTAGCAACCAGCCTAGGTACCAGCTCATGATGTGGTGTGAGAACGTTAGCAGCAGAATGACCTAAGTGTAACCATTCCAACACCCCCTGCAATTGCCAGAGTAATTGAACAGGCTGCTGTGGATCCCAGCACCGAAGCTGGGCTGTAGTAATTGCTCTCTGTACCTTAACCAATGCCTGTTGGGCATCCTCCCTATATTCTCAAAGTGAGGAAGGATTAGGATCGCCCTTGAGCAATTGAAAAAGAGGAGATAAGGTGTCAGTGGTAAGTTTTAGAGAGGGAGACAATTGGTATCTCCCAGCAGTTTTTGTAAAACTTTTAAAGTTTTTAAAGTATACTTCCTGATTTATTCTACCTTTTGAGGACAGATCAAGCATCCATCAATAACTTGCCCTAAATATTGAAAAGGAGGCATTTTTTGTACCTTTTCCAGTGCAATGCACAATCCCTAGGCTTCAAGTTCCTTTGTAAGATCTGCCAAGACTATAGAAGTATAGACTCACTGGGATGACTTATCAGAATATCATCCATGTAATGAAGGACATAAGCTACTGGATACTTAGGCTTCTGGCAGCAACAAATTCCTGACACATAGTGGGACTATTAGCCATGCCTTGGGGCAGCATTATCCAATGAAACTTGTGCCCAGGGCCCTGATGATTTGGTGATAATAAAGTGAAAGCAAAATTTTCTCTGTGTTTTGAATGGAGAGGAATGGCAAAAAAAGCATCTTTAAGATCAAAATGCAAAGACAATACTGTAATGGATAGCTGTGGGTGAGGGAAGGCCAGGCTGGAGCGCTCCCATTGGCTGCATTACTCTGTTGCCAGCTCTTAAATCCTGTAAGAACCTCCATCTTCCTGACTTTTTTCTAAACACAAAAATTGGAGTATGCCAAGGGCTATCTGTAAGTTCAACATGCCCTGTCCTTAATTGTTCCTCTATCAGAGCTGAGGCTGCAGCCAATTTCTCCCCTGCCAAATGCCACTGGTCCACCCAGACTGGATCTGTTGAGAGTCAAGTGATCTGGGCTGCATGTTTGAAAGGGGAGTATTTAATTTGTTGGACCAGGGTCCCTACTGAAAATGCTGCATGGCCTGATATCCTAGCACCATCCTTCCTAGATTCCCTAAAGGCTGTACAGGATGTAACCGGCCTTGTTGATATTTTTCCAATCTCCTAAGGGGATTATAGCCTTGTTGAAACACTTGGTGAGAGACCATGCTATTAGGACTGCAGACTATAGCTCCCATACCCTCTAATACATCTCTTCCCCACAGATTGACTGGAAGATTGTCTAAGATATAAGGATCAAAAACTCCTGAGTGTCCCTCTTCATCCCTCCAACAGATCTGCTGAGCACTCTGGAGGGGCCATGATAGGCCCCTACCCCTGCAGATTGGCAGCAGAGTGATGGCAAAGCCAACTTTTTGGCCAATGTCTAGCAGCAATTACAGAGACATCAGCACCAGTATCCAAAAGTCCCACAAAACATTTTTCATTGAAGAACAAAGTCATTTCTGGCCTATCTTTTGCTACTTGTACCCAGTAGGCATGATCAGAGGAACCAAATCCTCCATCTCTCCACAAAGTGTGAGTTACCACCTTGCCTTTGTTTACATTTGGGAGAATAACCAGCTGAGCTATTTTTTCCTCTAGGAATACTGCTACAAAGGCACCTGGTGCCTGGGTCATTATTTTAATTTCCTTAGTATAGTCTTCATCAATCATTCCTGGATAAACCTTTAATCTCCTTATGGTTGTGCTGCTCTTCCCCAATATCAAACCCACTGCACCCTGGGACAGAAGACCACAGACTACCACAGGGATAACTTGCACTCCCAAATCAGGTGTTAACACATATCAGGAGGTGGGACTGAGGTCCAATCCTGTGCTTCCTGGGGTGGCACAACTGAGGTTTCCAATGGTGGGTATTGGTGAGGAGCTTGCCCCCACAGTTTGATGGGGCTGGAGCAGGCCCTGTTGGATATTTCCCTATCCTATAAGAGTTTGCCTATATATATCTGTTTTGGAGTGACATTCATTTGCCCAATGTCTTCTCCTCTGACACTAAGGACATGTCCTGGGAGTTTGAGCCCTGGGCCCATTGGCACCAGTTGGTGGCCTGGTGACAGGCTCTGAGATAACTAGCTCTAGTCGGGGCATATTCCAACACTCCCTAGCATAATGTCCCACTTTTCCACAGGAAAAACATGCTCCTTTTTTTCTTTTCCCAGGGCAGAATACTTCCTTTAAGGCATCAGATAAAGCTATACCCTGGATGTGACTTGGCCTAACATCTGCACAAATTCTAATCCTGCAGAATAGATCTTTTCTATATGGCCAAAGGGCTGTCTTACAGGTCTTGTTAGCATTCTTGAAAGCCAGCTGTTTTACCAATATGTTTCTGGCTTCTGTATCCACTATTCTGTCTACGTTTTGCAGCAGGTGTGCCACAAACTATTGATATGGCTCATCAGGAACTTGGAAATTGCTAGTTAATTCCAAAGTCTTTTCTCCTTTTCTGGGTAGTTCTTGCCTTGCCCTTGTGCCTGCAATGGCAATCTACTGATAAGCTTGAGGGGGATACTGTAATTGATTATCTACACCTTCAAAAGTCCTCTTCCTATAAGCATATCTGCAGTGACATGCACTCCATGGGCCAAACTGACATAGCTCTATAAAACTTGTTTTCCACAGCAAGTAATCACCTGGAGAGGCATGCTTTAGCCAGCCCTGTCTAGTCATCTGGAGGCATAGCAGTATCTCCTACCACACTTTGTAATAGCCCCAGTGTAAATGGCACTGTAGAGCCATACATTGTACAAGCTTGTTTTACCTCCTTTAAAGTTTTAAATGGAATCTTTTCATGAAATCTCTGTTGCATGCCAGGGTCATTAGGGTTCATATCTCAAGCACAGGGTAAAACGTAAAGCCAGCTGTATCTTCTCCTTGACTATGAGCTGCCTGCAAGGCAGCCTGCAGAGGACTCTTAGCAAGAGAAGGAAGTCTCTTGGCCCACAGAGGTAACCCCAAATGCATGTTCCCAGTACTTGACGGGCCAGAGTGTCCTCCTGACCCTCCTCATCTGACACTGGATCAGACTCAGAATCATCTTGGGACTGAATTTTAATTTTATGTGAAAGTTTATCCTCATAAGGTAGGGTGATGGTTCAGTGGCTCCACCACCTGTAGCATTTTGTTCCTTCAAGGGATACTGCCTCTTACACTCCTAGATGACTGGTTGTAAGGGTTGAGTCCCACATCCTGGTTCAAATACTGAGGAGAAAAATCTTTGTTTATGTGAGGGAGTAGGCCCCAAACAATCTCTAATAATAGACCACAAACTGCAAGTAAAAATGGACATGGGTTCTGGCCCCTCAGCTGTATATTGCACCCTCAGCCCATCTGCTACCTTGTTCCATGTTTCCAAATTTACAGTACCCTCTTCAGGGAGCCATGAGCAAGTACCCTGTACAAAATCTAAATCTCCGTAAGTTAAAGTGACCTGACGCTGCTTCCTCTAATCTTTAGCATAGCTTTTAAAGCTTATATATAGACTTCCTGGTCCTTAGACTCACATTGTCCCATGTTTTTACACCTGGCTGTATTCAATTCACTCTCCCCCTCACCTTACTTCTTTTCTATTACATCTTATTTGTTTATTATTAAATGCATGCTTCTCGGAGAGTGTCTCGTCCTCTCAGGCTTCAAGTTCCCCTGTATTTAGGTCCCTGTCGAGGTGCCTCCTCTTGTGACCCATGAGAGCATGTCCTAGAAACTTAACTAGGGGCAACAAGAGATTAAGAAAGGACAAAAGACAGAAGACAAACGTGCAAAAATGCTGGAGCCAAGTGGGCTGGGTGTTTGGATAGAGACACACAACATCCTCGTCCACTTCCAATGAATTTATTATGTACAGTGGCAAAACAAGGAGGTGGAACAGCAGTTCTTGGGGGAGGGGGCACGACACTGTAGATCTTGGGAACAGGAGGAACCTAATCAGCTGTGCTGCATTTTGGCTTTGGCCCTCTTCTGCAGCTGGGGCCATGCCAAACTCAGCCTGCAGATTATTTCACACTGCTGGGCCTATGTCAAGTTATCATAGGCTTCTCATCCTCCATTCTCCAAAGTCCCCAATAGGTAAAAAATAACAACATCAAAAAAAAAAAAGTTTCTTGTTTTTTCTTTTGTTCTGACCATGAAACACAGCATATCTTAACTATTGGGTCCCAGCTACCTGCATATTTTCCTCTGTCGTCTTTACCCCACACCAGGACTGGGTACATTATCAAGCTCTGATAAGATTATTTAGATTGTTGCCTGAAATGCTGAATGGTGAAATATGTTGTTAAACTCGTAGAAACTAGCCCCGGCCCTGAATCAAATTCCTTAAGGTTTCATATAAATCCAAAAACACAGTCCCCAGTGGGAGATCAATTCAGTAGAGCATCTCTTGTCTTGCTACCCTTTGCAAGGTCCCTGAAGACCTTCTGTATTTAAGTTCCCCTAATAAATGCTGTGGACTGATCAACTTAATTAGTGATTCTTTTGTGGAATTTTAGCAGGCCCTATCTCAGGATGGTTTAGGGTATTGTCTTCGGGAAACTTCTCTGCCAGTGCTTTTGGGGAAAATCCTCAAATATATTCAGATAGACAAAACCACATATCTAGACCCACTGCTAGGATTATTTCAACAAATTTTCACTATGTAAAAAAAAGGAAAACTTTGAGCTTGTATTCAATGTATGGCAGGTTTGGTGATTTTATTAAACACTCTTCACAGGAGTGCAAGTGAAAATTATTAGAAAAGTTTTACAAATGAGGAGTTTGTAGCTCAGAGGTCAGAACTTGATTATTGAAAGATTATTGTGATTAATGAATTGAGCACATTTACAAAATTCATTAAATTTAGAAAAAAACAAGAAAAATAGTTGTAGACACTGAATCATTTGTATTAGCTCCAAACTTCTCACATTTCCTTTTATTAACTTTGCTTTAGTTTCTTGCTTGTCATTGCCCTCTCTCTTTCTGTAGAAATAATCTTGACATTCTATATTCTTCTAAGGAAGCCCTGTGAGTACCACAGCAGTATGGGTATATTCCCTAAATACCACCAATCCACACTGTTTCTATCACATCCCCATAATTGTAATTATTTTGTAAAAAAAATAGAGTAAATATTAGGAGACAGAATAAAATAGTATTTTGGTAAGCTAAAATTGTTACATATTTTTCTATTTTGTATTAAACACAAGTATTGTTTTTCAAAAGCTAAATTAATATTAAAATTAGTCTACAGTCAATAGTAGAGATTATATACAAAGATCTCATAAAAATAATTTTCTTTAAATTATCAAAGGGAAAAAAACTAATAAAACAATTTTATGTTTAATTTCAATTAGTGGAAATTTTATGTTTTTTTAGTTCAGTTCCCTAATCTTCTTATGAAGTAGTTTGTTATCACTTAGCACTGGCCTTTGAAATGTATCTGAATTTACACTTCAGACTGTGTTAGCTTGAAGAGTTTTCTCAGAGCTTCTTTCACATCTTTATTTCTCAGACTATAGATCATAGGGTTCAACATGGGGAACAACACAGTATAAAAGGTAGAAACCATTTTGTCCCTCTTAAGGGAGTAGCTGGAACTGGGGCGAGAGTAGATGTAAAGAATGGAGCCATAGTACAAAGTCACAGAGATCAGGTGGGAAGAACATGTGGAGAAGGCCTTGAGACGGCCCTGGGTGGAACGGATCTTCAAAATGGCAGTGATGATGAAGAGGTAGGAGGCCAGGATGAGCAGGGTGGGGGTAATGACATTGGTGGTCAGGAGGAAGTAAAGCACAGACTGGTAGTTCTCACTTACATCACATGCCAACTTCACCAAGGGTGGGACATCACAAAAAAAGTCATCAATGACATTGCCATTACAAAAATCCAAAGTGAATGTGTTGCTGGTTAAGATGACTGCATTGACAAAACCCCCAGTATAGGAATATATAACCAAACAAATGCTCAGTCTCCTTGAAATGACCTGGACATAAAGTAAGGGATTGGAAATGGCTACATAGCGATCATAAGCCATGGCATCCAGCAGGTAACACTCACTGTACGCTAGGCCAGCAGAGAAGAAGAACTGAGACAGACAGCCAGCAAAGGAGATGCTCTTGTCTTCAGAGATGCAAGTCACAAGGATCTTTGGAGTGTAGACAGAAGAATACCAGAGATCCAGAAAAGACAGATTTCCAATAAAGAAATACATGGGTGTGTGAAGCCGGGAGTCAATGCAGATCAACACTATGAGAGTGGTATTTCCTAGCAAAGTCAGAGAGTACACTCCAAGAAACAGGACAAACAGGACCAGTTGCATCACAGGATCTGTTGTGAATCCCAACAGGATGAAGTCATTCACTGTGTGATTGCTCCTCTCCATGGTTTAAAGAGCTTTCACCTAGGAAAAGAGAAGAGTTTCATTCCCTTGAACAATAATAGATGATGGTATTCTGTGTGTTAAAATTCTGAAGTTTGGTTGCCATCAATCAGAAATCTTGCTTACCTTGGGCAAGTTTGGGATTTTTCTGAGCTTCAGTATAGTCATTACAATGGAATACATTTAATAACAGGAAAGTCAAAATGTCATTGAGATGGGTCATTCCATTTTATTGTAAAATGTTCTGTTAGCCCCAGGTGCTGTTTTAGTTTTATTTATTTTTTGGTGATACTGGAGTTCAAACTCAGAATCTTGTGCTTGCTAGACTTGTACATTACCACTTGAGACACATCCCCAGCTCTTTTTTAGCTTCAATTATTTTTCAGATGCAGTTCCATGGTTGTTTCTTGGTTCACCTCAAACTGCAATCCTCCTACAAATCACAGAGGGAAATAAATGCCCATTTTCCTATTTCCTAGCTAAGAACAGACAAATTGTAAAGACTCTGAGAATTCAGAAGATCTGTGGCTTATGAGATGATACCACTGTCTTTTACCACAACCACAGAAATTGTTCTCCCCTCCGCTAGTGAAGGATTCTGAAATATTTGTCAAAAATCCTGGAGAATGAGCCCCATGGAGAATTGGGGTGAAATTTGGGTGAGACTCACAAATTAACCTGTTTATGTAATGTAAAAAGAAGTGTTGGTGTCATTGTGGGCCCTTGGGTTCTCAAGCTTGGGACTTACTGTGTTCTAGCCTCTAAAACTAGCCTTGGGCATGTTTTTTAAAAAGATAATCATCCCAAATTGCCATTATGTTTGACAGTGGTTTTGAATTACATTACATTAAAAAAATCTTCATTTTAACACAAATATTTTTAGTCCTTCTTTTGTAGTACTTTGATGAAATTTATAGGTAACTTAACCAAACTGTAAATATACATATGTATGTTTGCAAATTATCATGTTAAATGTAAAACTTACATAAAGAAAAGTTCTTCATAATATAATTATTATATAATATTGATAATGTAAGGTTGTAAAGTAATGCAAATTTAAATATGTTAAAAATGCTTGTTCACTTAGTGACATAGGTATATACAATGAAGTAGATAATGCTTATAGAATGATCATGAATATTTTAGACACAAATAACAGAAGTGGCATTTACATTGATGATAAGATTTAATTGCCAAGCATACAACATTTGATAAACTTCCAAACAGAATAAATGACAATCCTTCCTCAGTTTTAAAATCCTAGTTAACTTGGTGCATAGAAGAACAATATAAAATACACTTTTTGTTTGCTTGTGTAGTGGAGTTGATTTCAAATGCATGTAATTTTAGAGATTTTTTTTCAGTTCATAAATGTCCATAAAAACTCTAGATGAAGGGGATGGGACATTTTTACCCTTGCATAGAACCATCCCATGGATACAAGATAACTGCCAGTGGGGATTCCAATATCTGTGACAATAAATAATCCAACAACATGGTTAGAAGATATTCTTAAATGGGAGCACCATATGTTAAAACTCCTATCCTGAAGCTTTATAATTTACCTTGTAAATGTAGAAAAATCTTTAAAGATTCTTCTAGATGGTGTGTGAAGAAAGAAAAAACAATAATTTTATAATATCACTAAGTGGTCAAATCACCTGCAATCATATAGTTCTCCATTTACTATTTCTTCTGTGTCAAACAGATAAATGTCCACAATAATGGAGACTCTGTGAGAGCAGAAATTTTCATCCAGTTTCATGCATCATTTCTCTCTAAAGCTTAGAACAGTAATGGTATGTTATAGACACAATAAATAGTTACTGAATGAATAAATGAGCAGCCTTTATTCTGAAAAGAAACAACTCAGTAGGATTGATGCTCTGAGTGGCCTCAAATGAAGTTATTTTACTCTAAAACCACACCCAGGTCATTTGTGTTCTTTGCAGACTCATATGGGAAGAAATGAAGAGACAAGTCTACAGAATGGTTAGTTTAGTCAAATATTTGATTTTATGAATGATACGTGTCTGCAAAAAAAGAAGAGTATTTTCTAAGTTGTAACATACAAAGAATAGGAAGCATGTATTAGACATCACCACAGTTGACTGCTTAAACCAGGCACAGCCAAAAAAAATTGACTTTTAAGCAGTTAAAAAGGATCTAAGTTCTTAACTTCCTCATATATGGAATGGAAATAACTTATCTTTCTTTAGGGTTATTGCAAAGGACTTAACGAAAGACTAAGCTGGCATATCTTATAAACTTGAGTAATATGTGAGTCTCAAATTCTTTGTACATAAAATCACCTGGTTAATGTTTCTAATTTAGCAGGTTTCAGGTAAGCTTCAAGAAACCTGTTTTCATGAAACCAACCCAAGTGTTTATAATTCAGGATTTCTATAAATTACACTGAGAAATGTTGAAATTATTATTATTATTAATTTATCTCATAACCCTTGACTGTATTGCAATGTTATGAAGACTCAATGAATTTACACAGGTAAAGATGTGCTTATAAATTTTAAAAAGATGAAGCATAAACATAGTTGTTTCAATATTGACAATTTCCATAACAGTGACCTGGGAACATTTATTTAAATGCCTCATCTCATTCTTCTCATCTATTCTCTTTAATAGAAAAATGATAATAATTTCTTCATGTGATTATCAGACAATTTGAAGAGTGCATTATATATGATGTACTTAGAGCCCACTGTCCTATAACATATATGTGATAGGATGTTACACAGTTGTAATGCAGTGGTTTTGTTGCCTTTTCATATAAAACATTGCAATGGTTTAAATTTGTTTTCAAACCTTTACCTCTTTTATCAGCAGTATCTTCCCTTCACCATCACCATGATCTTTACACTTTATCTTCTCAAAGACCTAAGCATCCATCAAGGAAGCCCAGGGTGACTGTCTATCATGTTTACTCTATTATTCCTCTAGTCATGTTTCTCCTGAGATCTACTATGTTGAAACAGATAATTAACTTTTATTAAGTTCCAGTTCCTTGAGATTTTTATAAAAGCTGTATAACTCTTTTCACTTGAATAAAACAACACTCACAATTCACCTGGAGTCACACAAAGAAAGACAGGGCATATGTTTCCTTGGTATTTCCCCATGACACTCACTATGTATGCCAGGAGAAAGACCAGCTTAAACAGATGAGCCTTGTATTTGTTAACCACAGGAAAAAACCCAGGATATCTGCCAGTGTATGCAGCTCAGCCAGTATGCTCACCTTCTTAACAAAGGTTATATGTTTGTATTATAAACCAGAAATGAGCTTTCCATTCAAAATTTTTTAATACAACTTTTTCTTATAGAGGTTTTCTAAACAATACCATATGTCTTCATGCTTCTTTAAAGAGTATCAAGCTAAAGAAAGAACTTCAAACTTTTTTTGATGTCCCTTGTCCCTAATAATCCCTGCTACTTCATTCTTCGTCCTTCTTTGCCTTTGGTGTGTTAACAAAGGCTTCTTCTTTTGTTAGTGGTTTCTTGTTTGTGCATTTAGTGCTTTCCCTTGTATTTTCCTGTATTGATAATTATTATTTATTTTTTTATATAATCTGAAGTTCAAGTTCTCTATGAGAACTCTCAGGAATTTTGAGATGGGAAAATGAATATGGTGAAAATATTTCAAAAGAAGCCCTTGCTCTAGCACCTACCATATATTAGTATGAAAAGGCTGGATTTGAGGAAAACAACAATTTCTACAAATAGAAAATTAAGCAACTTACCTAAAATTTTTCAGCAACAGCATCATATAAACAGAATTCAAATTTTCTGATCCCAGTATCTTTTATCTCAGTTGCTGGATTCCCAGGGCTGTAGATTGCTAAAGCCCATTGGGATTTCATTGCTTAGCAAGGAACTAACAGTATAATTTTTAAAAAATGTATGTGCTGACAGATTGGATGCTATTGGATAAGACAGAGGAAAAAAATTGGAGATTTTATTTCCCTAGTAAAAAAGGTAATTAATAATAATTTTTATTCTTATTCTTTATTGTTGTTTAGAAGCTAAACATATATACATATATTACATGTGCTACTAAAATTAACATGTGCACATGTGCATATTAAAAAGTACATGTCTTTTTATACTAGTATTTCTATTTTAAGTTGGCTGTCTATCATTTGTTCCTCCAAATCCATTCTATAGTCATCTAATTTCATTGCTCCAGTATTATTTGCATCAGTTGGATCCTTTGATCCCTATATATATAATGATTTGGTCCAGTGGTTATAGAAGATAATGAGGTTAGGTTTTCCCAGGTTACTTGTCAGTACACATGATACAAACCACTGAGACCATCACTCTTTTTATGCTCAAAGAAGGCAACATGGAGTAATTGTTGATATCCATTATTTGCTCTCTGTAGGTCAAATTTGGGTTCCTAATAACACTGTTCAGCAAAAAGTATCAGGAATTCTTTGAGGAGACCTACAACAAGAAAGTATGTATAGCAGGTATCTGCAACATTTTTGAGTGTTAGGAAATGTGGGTGCTTTTACAAATGGGAGGTCAGGAATGAAAGGAGTCAAAATAAAAAGGTTCCTGTTCATGTAGTTGTCACAGTCTGAACAATTAAAAAAAGCAGGACAAAATGATCCTCAGTTTAAATTCCAATATATTGAAACAATAACTGCCAGGGCATCCAGTGTACTAGAATAAGTATATATGAAGAAAAAAAGAAGGTAGTGATAAAATAGTAGACCAGTAGATTGCTTTATTTTGATTAGCAAATGTGTACACAGCATGCAGAAATGTCTAAAAATTTCATAAATAAATGAATACTGTCCTAATGTTTTAAAATGGGCAATAAATAATAATTCATTAAAAACTTAGCTTTCTAAGAAGTCCCTACAAAATTAGAAGCTTTCCAAAGAATAATAAAGAAAAATTAGTATTGAAGATATGGAGGATTGATGTACACTGATGAAGGAAAATAGGTGTGTTTATGCCTCTGTTGTGTGAAGACT